ACACACACACACACACACACACACACACACACACACACACACACACAGACACAGACAAATTACTCATTGTACAACAGCCGGTCTAGCTACACTGTTATATTGAAGGCTAATGCTAGCAGCTCACTGCTGATCTTTGTGCTGTTTGGGACGTTTAAACTCCAGCAACCTGAGTAAAAGAGTTACAAATAGCTGCTGTTGTCATATGTGATTATTTAATCAAACTGTCCGTCACTGAACTGGTGAAACATCAAAAAAAGAAAAGATATTGCAGGTATCAAGGGACGTGAGGAGGGAATCACTCCAGAATCGTTGCTGCATTACGAGATCCAAACTAAACATTCAGTAAAGTCTGCAGGAAAGAATCCTGTTTTTATTATTATTACTGTTTGTTGACACTGAATGTAATGTACTGGAGGCCACGCCCCTGTTCTCCAGAGGTTAAACCCTTTAGATATTTACTGCCAGCTTCATGTTTGTGGATCAGGAACACTTTAACAATGGCGGACCGTTGTTAATGTTGAGTCCTTTGTCTCTCCGGCAGCGTACGGTCGGGAGGTTCCCGCCATCATCGAGCAGCCTCTGGAGGAGACCCGCGTCCACATCGGCAAGAACACCGTCACCTACGAGGCTCGGCTGCTCAAGGCGCTGTTCTACGACGTCATTGGCTGGAATAAGTGACATCATCACTGACGGTATTTGAACTTGACTGTGATCAAGAGACGGTCAACACACATAATAAAGCTGCTGTGCAAGCTCTATATTTCTATGAATCAAAAACATTTCCACGTTGTGACTTCCTCCGAGCAGCACACACACACACACACACACACACACACCACAGGGGAAGCTTTCATTTTGAACTGGAGCTCCAGGACATCTTACATAATCAGTTAGTGTTGTTTCTCTCTTCGTGGCCTCTTGCTTCACTTCACAGACTCTTTAACATTCAGTCGTGTAACTAAGCCGAGAGGATTTACATTCATAATCCCTGATGTTCTCTTATTGAGGATAACGTGTGTAAGTACAGCAGACTTCAGAGTTTGACTGGTTGTTTATTGATGCTAATATGAAATACATGATAACGTTTTGTATGTGACATTCATAGTTCATGCATAGTTACTCTTTGGTCTCTGTACAGTGGCCTCTAGTGTGTCTTTATATTTAGTAGATAAACATAAGTTAAAGGAAATAAAGTCGTTATTTTTGTCTTAATATGATGTTTTAGTTTTTAGATAAATACGATGCTTTTAATGGATAATATCATGAACCTCTTTTTAAGCCTTTTTACAGACGTCCTGCAGAACCGACCTGTAAGAACCTCTAACTACACTGAACACTAATTATACGACTGTATATTGTATTATTAGGGAGCCGGGGGACAATATTCAAAGAATAAAGTTGTGAATTTACAAGAAAAAAACTCACAAATTTACTAAATTCGCGCTTCATTTTTTAAGGTTCGATACATCCTCCAGACTTTGAGGTGAACTGGGGCCAAGTCAGAAAACAGGATGATTTGAGGGTTTTTTTCCTCATATATTTACAACTTTAATCTCCTAAATTCTCTGAATATTACCTCCTTCTGCTGGCTAAGTTAGTTTGTTTCTCTTTTCTTTAACCTACAATGGCCCTAAGGCTCCGTCTTGACTTCTGATCTCTCTCCTCTGTGAATCATCACCGAGCAGAGGAGAGAGATCAAATTATTTTACATCAAATTCAGACAAAAACTAGCGACCAGGAGATGAAATCACAGTTCCAGATGTCACTAACTATCCCTTCAACCATTACTCAGATAAACCGTGTGGCAAAAAGCAGAATATGAAGCGTTGGTTTACCCTGATTTCATTTATAAAGACGTAATAAATTCTGTAGCTAGATTACTGAACCACAGGTCAAACAACTGACTGTATCTGGAGACGACAGCAGCGTCACAGAGTTAATAATCTGCTGGATTTGAGAACCACTACTGTCCTTGTTTGGGATTATTCGATCCATAGCTGTTGGTCAGATTTCACACCTGAGGATAATAATAGATTACAGAATGAAAAAGAAATAAAGGTCTATATTTTGTACCAAACAGCAACATCCCAGCGTTTTATTACGCATCGTCATCATCTTACGACTCGTGTTCATGAAGCAACATGTTGTGTCGGGGGTCCAGCCGTCTCTACGGGGGAGGGGGGGGGGGGGGTCAGGGGGGGGGCCTCTTCGTTATGTCCTGTTCGGTCAGGTAGTAGTTCAGGTATCCTCCCAGAGTACCGACCGCCACCGCCGTCATGTGACTGGAGCAGCCGTCTGAGACGACAACAGAGAGAGAATACGTTACAGACAACGAGCATAAAAACACTTCATTGCAAGTCAAAGTTCTGCCTTCAAACTATCACTGAGATGAAAGTAAACTAGTATCAACAGTAGAATGACTTCTGATTCAACAGTAAGAAGTACACATAGTGAAAATAGAGAAGTGGATCATATATCATATCACATCACAGTAGATGTGTCACAAACTACCTGGGAGTATTTTCTCCCTCCTCTTCACTCTCCTGTGAGGCTGCATCTGTTCCAGCAGCTCGTCTCCGATGATCTGAGAGATGATGCTCTCTGAGGACACAAACAGAGAAGATCAACTCTTCATCTCCATCTTCATCCAGGTGATGACCTCCATCTCATTCAGCCTGTCTACAGACGCCTGCTCAGGAACCAACACGTCTTCCTTCACACCACATGTTAAATCCTCTGTTGTTGTTTTCTAACACTCACTGTCTCTCCCGAAGCAGCCCACTTCCTCGTCCTGCAGCCGGAGGATGTGCTGCAGCCAATCGGCTTTGTAGAAGTCGGAGAAACCGCTCAGTCCACAAATCAGGACTGTGGACGGAGAGAAGCGCAACTCAAGTCAGTCGACACACTCCGAGACGTTCAGCAACACCTTCACTCACCTGCTGGATCCTTTTAGAGATATTTATAAAAGCTGTTTAGCTTCTGATTCAACCTTTTCTACGTTTTTACGATTGTTTGACATTTTACAGACAAACCATTAAAGGAGCAGTGTGTAGGCTTGAGTGATATCTAGTGGTGAAGTTACACTTTACAACCAACTGAACACTCCTTCGCTCACTCCTCCCTTCAGTGTGTACAGAACTACGGTGCCTTCAGGTAACATGAAATAACGCAAAAAGTCTCTCTCTACAGCCAGTGTTTGGTTTGTCCCTTCTGGGCTACAGTAGAAACATGGTGGCGGACTCCGCCTCCTGCTCCCTATGAAGATATGAAGGACTTATAGTAAGCTCACGAAAACACAACAATTGTTAGTTTCAGGTGATTAATTATTCACTAATGAAAGCAACGTTATGAATATTATATTTCTGCTGATAAACAATAAATAATACACACTGTACCTTTAATTAAAAGTATAATTGGATGATTAATCAGAATAATTATTGGTTGCAGCCTTAACAACAGTTTAATGAAGTGAGACTTGGCTATCAGATTATCCAAAGATCTTTATGAGTTTAAGGACTTCCAAAATCTGTTTTGAAAGCATGACGATTGCCAGAATTGGAGATACAAGTTTCTTAACTGACGAGCATAATATGCAAAACATATGCAGTTTGAAATCAGTACAAAATGTTTAGGAACACGTGTTGAAATACAAACTACAAAGAAAGAGAAGGAGAATAGTCCGAGGAGAGAGAGGTGATAGAGACCCACTGTTTTCCATGAAGATGTCCACCGTCTGTTCGGTCAGACCATCCCTCATGATGTCCTGGTTGGTTTTCATCATGTTGGAGCAGAAGATCTTCTGGTAGTTGCTTTCGGTCATGTTGGCTCGGGACGCTCGAGTGTCGCCCTTCAGCAGGTTGGTGCAGCCTCTCTGAGAAACACAAAGAGGTCAGCGTCTCAGAAAGTTGGAGGAGGCGAGGTCGTAAAGAGGGCGATCGATCATCAAGAACATCGACACCACTCTTGTTAGCTTAGCTTAGCATCAAGACCGGAAGCAGGAGGAAACCTCCAAACATCAGAGATACATCTACCAGCAACTGTGTATGCAGATAAAACCAGACAGCAACCTCCGGTTCTGAAGAGTGAAACTGAAGCTTCAAGTGTTAAAGCTGCATTCTCTATAGTGTCCACCAGGGGGCGACTCCTCTGGTTGTATAGAAGTCTATGAGAAAATGACTCTACTTCTCTCTTGATTTATTACCTCAGTAAACATTGTAAACATGAGTTTATGGTCTCAAAGTTGTTTCCCTTTAATTCCAGTCTTTATGCTAAGCTAATCTGATCGCCTCCAGCTACAAACTAAATGCATAAGACTGAATCAAATGAAGGCTTTAAGTGTTTTAATTCATGCCTCATATCTTCATGCCTCATATCTTCATGCCTCATATCTGGAGTGTCTGAGACATTGAAGAAGGACTGTAGATATCGTACACTAATATCAATATTATTACCAACTGGTCAAAGTGGAGTGAACCGTCTCACCATTCTTCCGATCATGAAGTAGAGCAGCTGGTGGGACAGCGAGTAGTGTGGACAGCCGAAGCGGGTCATGGTGTCCCGGCAGGGTTTGGTGACGATGCAGGGCGTCCCGTTTATCTTCCTGCTCAGGACAGAAGACGACGCGTCAGTTCCCTCTCACTGAAACATCATTCTTCTTTTAGTTTCTTTGTTTGAGACTCAAATTATAATTTAAAGCAGAATAAAAAACAACAGCAGCAAATCCTCACTTTGGACGAGCTGGAGGAAAACATGTTGCTCATTTTCACTGCATAAATGTAGTTTTGTTAGTATTTAGTTATTTTAAATAACTAAATCATTAAATTTAGATTAAAAATAACGTTGAAGATAACATTTATTTTTACAATCTACACTTGGAATGATGAAGGTAGTACAAAATATTTAATCTTTAATTCATTACTTAAGATTTTATTAAACGCTGTTAACGAATACGATTTTAGGAAGATAATGAGAATAAATATGAAACTAAATTTGAAACCCAAATTTATCTGGTTTCAAATCAAACACCATAACTAAGATTGTTAACAAGATATTTAGTCGTCTGATCTGTAGAGGAAACAATAAAGTGCATCTTTGGTTATTGACTCTTTCAGCAGATGAATCATAAACAGTTTCTGATTGTTTTGTGTGACACTCGAACAAATCGCTCCTAAATTTAAACCATTGACTGGACTGAAAACAAATAAAACGATATTAAAACTATTTTTTTGAGAGGTTTTGATTGCTTTTTCTTTCATTGGTTATTTGTTTGGTTTACTTATTTTAGTTGTTTAGTATATTTAGTTGTTTTGTTTGTTTGATTTCTTTGTTCTTTTGTATGCGTGCTTGTTTTTTTTAAATCAATAAATCATAAGAAACACAGAAATTTTGCACAGACAATGAACTCCTTTGCCTTCATTGACCACAAACTCGTTGTGCCTCAAGTTTGATTTTTTTCGGATAAATGGCCACTACAGACAGACAGACTTTGACTGTGTCACACGGGTCATGAACCTCTGTCTGGGTCACCTCCCTCCATCTCTCTGAGATTTCTGGTGGTGAAATGAAGTCGTGTGTGCGTGTGTGTGTGTGCGTGCGTGCGTGTGTGTGTGTGTGTGTGTGTGTGTGTGTGTGTGTGTGTGTGTGTGTGTGTCCTTCTCTGTGTTGACATGTGATATCGTACCAGGTTCCCAGCAGCAGCGTCAGACATTTGTCACTGAGCTGCTCGTCGTAGCACTCGGTGGTCATGGTGGAGGGATACACCAGGCTGCGATCCGTGGAGCTCCACTCCTGAGGAACCAACCAGAAGCTCCACGACAGCAGGGGCTCGAACTCTGAGTGAGGACGGGAGTAGTCATTAGGAGTTCATCTGATTCCATAAAATACAGTCATTGCAGGAAGAAGTATTCAGATCCTTTACTGCAGTCAAAGTACTAATACCACACTGTGAAAATACCCCACTACAGGTACAAAAACATAAGTAAAAGTATGTCACGTAGTTAGTTAAAGGTGTTGTACTTGTAGAGTTCTGATCATTCGGTTGCATGAAAGGGTTTGTTTACTGTTCCGACTTTACACCACAGGGCCTCTGGGTAATGAAGTCTTTCCCCCCCTCACCTCTGTAGTATTTGGGGTCGTTCTGCTGCAGCGCGGCGACGGCCTTGTTGAAGCTTTGGTCCAGACGTCTGACCAGAGCGACGGCGGTGGTTCTCTGAGCCCAGCTGACCGGGTCGCTGTGAGGCCACGTCCGAACAGCCTCCTTCAGCTCAGCTGGGACGCAAAAAAATAACATCAGAATCAGAGGAAACTCATTCGTTACACAAACAAAGTTAATTTGTGTGAGAGGTTCCCCAGAGGATGAACCCTACTTTTCCTCTTGCACCACCATGAGCTCCATGGTTGAGGTTTAGACTGAAATATCTCTACAACTATGAGATGGATTGACTGGAAACTTTGTGAAAAAAATCATGATCCTCAGAGGTTGACTCTTGGTGTCTTTGGTGATCCTCTGACTTTTCATCTAGCACCACCATGAGGTTCAAGATTGTGGTTTAGAGTGAAATTTCTCTCCAACCATGAGATGGATTGACATGGACATTTTGTTCGGACATTCATGTTCCCCAGAGGATGAATCCTGTTGACTTTGGTAATCCTCTGACTTTTCCTCTATGTTAAAATAATAACAATAATAATACACATTTTTGTAATAGCAGCATTCGGAGTAAACTAATAGAAAAAGCATTCAGTGTCCCACTAAACCTTAAAAACTAAAATAAGGGACTGTCTGTTTGGTTTGAGCTTCTTTAACTTTAAGTAATTCCCCTTTAAAACGTCCCATAATAATCAGGGTCGATCCACTTCACCAGTGACTAGTTGTATTAGTAGTAGTAGTGAACCACTTTATCTGAACCCGTGACAAAAACAAACTGCAGATATTTTCCAGATGTTTCCTGCAGCCGAGAGGAGAAAGTCTCCTTCTGCAGCCTGCAGCCCGGGACGTGTTTACGTACCCTGCAGCATGAGGAACCCGACCACCCCGTCCAGGTTGATGTGCTCGTGTTGCCGCTCCAGGAAGGATGCTCCCCGTGTGAGGCTGCTCAGGATGTCATCGATCACCTCCGCCCGCGACCCGGACAACACTGCGGCAAACAGAGCCAGCGCTGCGGCCCGCATGATCTCGCTCGGATTGTCCGCTGTGTTTGGAGGTTTGAAGGTGTCCGGGACAGAAAACAAGGAGAGAGGAGGACAAGCTGTGTCTCCTCTAACAACGGGGAGGAGGGGGGAGGCGGAGGGGGTGGGGGTCACATGACGTCACAGAGGCTGTCATTACGAAATCTAAACTTTAAAGTTATTTATCCTTTTATTTCTGGTTCACTTCATCTTATTTATGCTCCACTTCCTCAAAGTTTTTAAAACGGATAAAATGATTGCATTGTTCTAGGAGAACAACATATTATTTATTCAATGTTTCATTCCATGTTCTGTTGAAGAATAAGCTCAGATAATGTGTTAGATAGACAGAGAGAGAGAGAGAGAGAGAGAGAGAGAGAGAGAGAGAGAGAGA